AGGAAATAGAACAGACACCAAGAGAATCTATAGGCAGAGGAGAGGTATGAACTAGATTGGTGTGAAGAGTGTTTGTCTGGCAAAAAGTAAGTTTGATGTCTAAGGAACGGAGAGAATTGTTGGGATTAGAAAGACTGGAAATACAGGGAAGGCAGAGAACAGGAGTAGAGAATTTGGGAGAGAAGAAAGTCTATTTAGCACATGAGAAAGCAGTTTATGAAATGGGAAGGGTAGCCAAGGCAAGAAAATGAATTATGAAAAGTGAAAATTTCAGATTCAAGGAACTGAGGATCACAAACGCAGAGAGCATGGAGAAAGAGAAAAATAAGAACACTTTTCTTGAGAGACGAAGCATGATAAGAAAAGTAGTGAATGTACATGCCACTGTACAGTGTGAATGTACTGCCCCCTTCTCTCCTTTCTGTTAGTGTGAGTTTGTAAATGGTCCAAGTCAGACTGAAATGTCATTGTAAGCTCCTCTCTCCTATGTGAGGGTTATTTGTGTATCTCCTACATAACTCTTGCCCTCCATTTTAAATCCATCATCGCAACAAAAAAACTTATGCTTTTCAATATTTCTCATTTAATAAATCACAACCAAGAATACTTGGTCATGGTTTAGGGTGTCCCAATCATAGAAGCCAACTTAATTAAAACTCAGAAAACTGAGGGATAGGGGGACCCCTACCCTTCTTGAGAAAAATTGCCAAATATTGATGATTTCTGTCAATTTGAGGCCTATTTTAGATCACTTTTTGTTTGAATTGACTATTTCATTAGTACATCTTCTAGCCTATCAGTTGGCACGAAGAAAACCACCATAGGAAATGCTGCAAAGTCATTATTTTAACCCAAACACAAGTTCAGAGGTTAGCTGTTCCCATCATGCACTGAATTAGGCAGAATATTTTTTATACTGAAAACACCCACCACACAGTCTAGGCCAAACATTACCACTCACAGCACATTTGAGGATCACACAATTTACATTTAATGTATTTAAGTGTCACCACCCCTAATTAATTATGTAAATTTACACGAGACAGCGAAAGGATTAATTAGAAAATCTAAACAGATATACAGTGAACCCTCGAGTTCTGAATGGCTCCCAACTTGATCTATTATGTAAGTGTATTTTTGTAAGTGTATTTTTGGGGGTCTGAAACAGATTAGTCATTATTCCCAATGAGAACAAATTCGTTCGGTAACAGAACTTGAATAGCCGTCTGGGACGAAATAAGTTCTAAACTCGAGGGTCCACTGCACTATTCTAACAGATTAAACAATATTAAAGGTAACACAAAAAATACTTGATAATCACTTTCTCAAATTCTAGAAAAAAAAAAAACTCTCTCTCTCTCTCTAAAGAATTCAAATCCCCTTCCAGCTTTTGATACTACCAATGAGTTCAACAGCTTCTTTGCCTCAAATGGAACCAAGATAGCAAGTGATATTCCCCAGCCCCTATCCAACATTAATAAAGTTCTTACTGGCAATTACCTGAACTCCCTGTACCAATCACTGCCTCAGAAAGAGTCCATAAACAAATCACTTAACCCCTTGACTGCTGCAACCCCCAATCCTGAGGTGTCGCCTGGTGTCTCAAAAAAAAAAAAAAAAAAAAAAAAAAAACTTATGAAATGATAGAGAATCTTTTCCTGATTGTAATGACACAATAAAAACGAAATTTGATGGAAAACTGACGGAATTATGCTCTTGTGAAGTTAGCAACCTCGGTGATATTTACAAATTGGCGATTTCGCCCACTTTGAGCCCTATTTTCGGCTAATTCCATTGTTCCAGTCAACCAAACTCATAGCTATTTCTTTAAAACTCCGTTTTTTTCTAACGACTGAGTACAAGAAACTTCCCATTCACTGATTTCAACTACCATCAATAACGTGGTCAGAAATTTGCAATTTGGCCAATTTAAAAATTAAAAAATTAAAAAATATGACAATTTCAAAATAAGGTCCAGAATGAACAATGCAGACATTCCTGGCTCTAAAATAACATTTTCTTTGTTCATCAGTCACATCTCCAGGCCCCTCTGATATTACTCTTGCTTTCTATTTTGAATTTTTAATCAAACAAAAAATAGAAGATTTACTGTTATGCAGACTACTGCAATATTGTAATAATTGTACATATAATGTCAACCAATTCATGACTGCATATTAGAATGGCTAGTTGGACATGTATCGGACAATGACATCATTTGTTTACTTTTGAACATCGGCAAAAATCAAACATTTCCCCTACTTTGAGCTCTATTTCCAGGTTCTTTTTATAGTAAAACCAATCAAAATCACCTCTATTTCTATATGTTTTCCATTCTATCAAATGAGACCAAGAAAACGAGAATGCAATCATAAACACTATACGAAAATAGACCACAAAGTCGGCATTTTAATTAAAAAAAAAAAAAAAGTCGGAGTTTTTTTTTTCTCATTATGCACTGCGTGCTCCAGGATTTTTTATATGGTGCACACTGACCACACAGACCCATTCTCTCACATGTGGGCCTACCAGTTTTCTCCTGCTTGATTTGAAGCCGCTAGAATTTATGAGTATATATACGTCAAACACGGTGCCTCGTAAGACGTATATATACAACCGAAACAGTCAAAGGGATAAAAAAATAAAGGATGTAATCAATCCAAAATACTAACACTTATATAAAAGAAGGCCTCACAAGTACTGTCACCATCCTTGTATATGACAGACGTAACAAGATACATTTTAGTGTTGTATCAATAACTGTGTATGACATTACAAACTACCAAGGTCACAATAATCCCAAGTCTTCCAGTGGGTCACAATAAACAACATTATGTTCATAAGCAAATTTTATAACTACTCGTTAGAGAAAAGTAAGGTAAGAAATTAACATACTGGGCCAGAATACTACACAATACAACTACCTCACACCACAGTGGAAGGAAAAGTAAGATATACTGGTATCTGAGAGTAACCACTTTTGAGTATATTACATTTAGATTGCATAGTAGAGAAATTATTATAACAGGAAAAAAAGAATGAAAATGGATAACAACAACTTTCCAAACAACAGACACCAAACAAATGATGATATATTTTCAAATCACTTATACTCTGCTGTATGACAGCTTCATTTAATGCATGCAAAACTACAGAGCTGGAAAATATGAAGACAACATCCATTGCACCCAGCTATTCAAACACTAAACTACTATACTGAGACCCAAATCTGTGTTAAAAGCAACTCCTTATGACAAAGGAAGGCATAGTATTGTGCATGGCAACCTTATTATTAACCCTTTCACTGTCGGTCCTGTAATATTACGGTTTGCAAGCCAGTGTTGGTTTCGTAATACTACGCCAAAATTCTAGCGGGTTCCAATCTTGCGGAGATAGCTGGTTGGCCTACATATGAGAGAATGGGTCTGAGTGGTCAGTGCGTGCAGTATAAAAAAAAATCCTGTAGCATGCAGTGCATGAGAAAAAAACTGCAACTGTGTTTTTGGTTTCAAACAGCGACTTTGCGGTGTATTTTCATATGGCATTTATGGGTGTATTCTCGTTTTCTTGGTTTCATTTGATAGAATGGAAGATACACTGCAGAAATAAAGGTGATTTTGAATGGTTTACAGAATAAAAGTACCTTGAAATTGAACTCGAAGTAGTGGAAATGTTCGATTTTTGCCGATGTTCAAGAGTAAACAAATCACGTCACATGTCCAATGTACATCAACCGGTGGGTGTAATATGCTTTCACAAGTGCGCTGATATTACATATACCATTTTTATAATAATACAGTAGTCTGCATAACAGTAACTCTTCTATTTTTTGTGTGAATAAGAATTCAAAATGGAAAGCAAGTGTGATATAAGAGGGGCTTGGAGACATGACTAATGAACAGAGAAGATATTATTTCAGTGCTAGGAATGTTTGCATTGTTAATTCTGGACCATATTTTGAAATTGACCTTCCTTGAATTTTGTATGAAATTGGCCAAATTACCAACTTCTGATCATTTTATTGGGAAGTTGAAATAGGTAAATGGGCAGTTTCTTGTACTCAGTCAATAGAACAAAAGTAGTTCTAGCGAAATAGCTATGACTTTGGTCAACTGGAACAATAGAACTGGCAGAAAAATACGGCTCAAAGTGGGCAAAATCATCGATGCATAAATATTGCCACAATCAAGAATTTTACGAAAGCATAATTCTGTAAGTTTTCCATCAAATTTCGTACTTTTGGTTTCATTACAATTGGGAAAAGATTCTCTATCATTTCATAACAAAAAAAAATTTTTTTTTTTTAATTCTTTGACACTGAGAGCAAGTTTGCAAGCAGGGGTCTCGACAGTGAAAGGGTTAAGCTAGGATACAATAAATGCACCAAGATTTCTTAATATCCGACAATTATAAGGTAAATTGCTAAATAGATACGGTTTTAAGATAGAACTTGTTATGCTCTGGTAAATCAGGGATCTGGACAAGGGTAATTATGTCAAATTGTGAGCAGCAAGCATTGACAATCTGGATGATGAGGCCCTCAAGCAAACAGTCCTGGTCAGAAACTGGGCTGCAGGCATGGTGATCCTCAGACACTATACAAGGTTTGTTTGTAGGTTTGTTTTTCTTTACTATATATTACTGTATCTTACTTAACCCTTAAACGGTCCAAAGAGATCGACGTTCAAATTCGTAGTGCTACAAAAGTAGATCTACTTTTTTTTACACATTTTCAAATATAACAAAAAAAAATGTAGATAAAAGTTTTTTTTACACGTTTTCAAATGTAAAACAAAAAAGAAGATCTACATTTTTTTACATACTTTCAGATGTTGAAAAAACGTATATATACGTTTGGACCATTTAAGGGTTAATTAACACCCACCAGCCTGTAATAAAAATGTTTTTTTCGAGTAGCCAGTTGTTGTCACCTTTCTATTGCTATCCTTATTTTCTAAAGTTTCCTTATCATTTTTGCATACAATGCAAGAAATGCTTACCTTTCAGACATAGCCATCTTCCAAAATCTGAGAGCTCCAAGCATATCCCTCTTCTTGTCAACATAGGTAGCTCCAAGTAGTTCTAGGGCATCAATTTTATCTTTCCGTGATATTAGGTCTGTTCGAGATATAAGATATTCAACAATGTGTGTGTGGCCAGTAACACTGGCTGCTAGTAATGGTGTCATTCCTGAAAAAAAAAAAGAAAACTGAATAATCCTATGTAATCTACAGCTCTTCTAACCAAGAGCCATTTAAAACAAAAACAATTAAAGCACTAAATGTAACTTGCTATGACCAGCACCACCACTCTACTACTACATTAACATTGTTTCCAAGACTAAATCTATACCACCCACTGCTCACATAATATACTGACTGAAAAAATCAAAGCTAATCAATGAATTTTTTTTGGCATGTGAAAGATTACCTATTTGTATATGTATAAAGGTAAAAGATTTCAGTAGCTTTAAATACACTATCACCCCTTGGCTCCCATTGAAAGCTACCTTGTATTTACCACTCAATTTATGAAAAAATATATCATTTGTGTCCTTTCTGCATCATTATTAAGTAATCTGAAATTGTGACTTCACTTTTCTCCCTCTTGATGCCAAAATATTCTACTTACCTATTTTCTTGAATATTTTCAGAACTTTACTAGAGTTATCAGTTCCTCTCGTTCTTCCTGTCTACCAAAAAAAAAAAAGCATGCTTGACGTAATTCATATTTCTTAACTCTGTGATGCATTTTGTTACATCTTAGCATTTTTTTATATGTACAATACCAATATTTGTTTACTAAATGTAAAAAGAAGAAAAACTCAATAGGTTTCTTCTTCTTTGGGTCAACCTGCTGCAGTGGGAGACACTATAATATAGCTGTATATTCTAATATAGATCTAGTGCATGTTGTGAACAATTTACAAGAGTTCTACTGATGATTTTAATAAAAAAAAGAGAGAGGTTATCACAAGAAAACCACACACATACCAATACACTGGCAAACTTCCTACTAAAATATATGGATGGTTAAAAATAATAATAATAACAATAATAATAATACTCCATGGGGAAGTGGAAAAGAATCATACTCCATGGGGAAGTGGAAAAGAATCCTTTATATATATACATGTATATACAGTGGTCCCTCAATAATCGTCCATAATCCGTTCCTGGAAGTGGGACTATTATCGAAATGGACGATTTATGAATCAATTTTCCCCATAAGAAATAATGTAAATTCAATTAATCCGTTCCTGACACCCAGAAGTATTAAAACAAAAAAATTTTTTACATGAAATATACATGTAGTACATAAACAATACAATGGGAAATGATGAATGAAACATTAACAGCATAACACTTACCTTTATTGGAGATTCTTCTTAGTGTATGGGAGACTGGAGGAGGAGAGAGAGTGGATTGTTTATAGTTTGGAAGGGGAATCCCCTTCCATCAACATCTCGGGTACCAATTGCTTTTCTGGGGTTACTTCTCTTCTCTGTTTCTTAATGCCACTAGGGACCACCTTGAGAGTCACTGGAGTCCTGTCTCGCAAAAAAACTGTCCAGAGAGCTCTGTTTTTGGCGTCTCTTTAAAACTTCCCTAAAATGGGCCAAGACTCTGTCACTGTACAAGTTGCCTATATGGCTTGCAACATCCTTCTCTGGGTGATGTTTCTCCATAAATCTTTCCATCCTACCCCACATTTCAAAAATTTCCTAAATTTCTGAAGAAGGCACCTTCCTCCATCTCTCTTCCTCCTCCTCTGCAGCAAGATTCTGAGCTGTGATCTGTTGCTGTTCCTGCTGAAGCTCTTGCAGCTCCTCAGTGGTTAGCTCTTCGTTGTGGTCCTCCACCAACTCTTCCACATCCTCCAAACTCACATCCAACCCCATGGAACTCCCCAGTGCCACAATGGATTTAACAACTGACATAGGCTCATCAGGGTCAGCCCCAAACCCTTCAAAATCCCTCTTGTGACACAATCTGGCCACAATTTTTCTCCAAGCAGAGTTCAAAGTCCTGGTAGTCACTCCCCTCCAAGCCTTGCCTAAAAGGGCTTACGCAATGGAGAATACTGAAATGTTCTTTCCCAAAATCTCGTAGGTCAAGTGAGTGTCTGAGGTCACATTCAAGCACCTTTCAAACATTGCTTTGGTGTAGAGTTTTTTAAAGTTTGCAATGACCTGCTGGTCCATGGGCTGGAGGTGAGGAGTGTGATCGGGGGCAAGAACTTTACTATGATGAACCCAAACTCCTTCAGAATTAGGTCATCCAAGTTTGGAGGATGAGCAGTGCACTGTCCATTACTAGGAGGCACTTGAGATCCAATTTCTTTTTCCAGGAGGTAATTCTTCACACTAGGCCAAACACTTCATTGAACCACTCTACAAAAATTTCCCTCGTGACCCATGCCTTACTATTAGATTTCCAAAACACACACAATTTTACTCTTCATAACATTGTTTTTCTTGAACACTCTGGGATTTTCAGAATGGTACACTAGTAATGGCTTCACTTTTAAATCCCCACTAGCATTAGCACAGAACATTAGCATCAGCCTGTCTTTCATAGGCTTGTGTCCTGGCACGCCTTTTCTTTCCTGATAATGTAGTCCTCTTTGGCATTTTCCTTCCAAAAAAAGGGCCTGTTTCATCACAATTGGACACTTGTTCAGGTTTCAGTCCTTCACTGTTTATGTACTCCTTGAATTCATGCACATATTTTTCAGCCGCCTTGTGGTCCGAACTGGCAGCCTCACCATGCCTTAACCACACTGTGTATGCCAGTACGCTTCTTAAATCTCTCAAAACCAGCCTTTGCTGGCCTTAAATTCCCCTCATATCATCACTAGTTGCAGGCAATTTCTTTACCAAATCGTCATGCAACTGCCTAGCCTTTTCAAAAAATAAGCGACGTCATAAAACTATCTCCTGCTAATTGTTTCTCATTTACCCATACCAAATAATAACTTCTCAACATCTTCGAGTACTGGTGATCTCATTTTTGTCAGCATATTTACCCCCTTTGCAACAACAGCGTCCTTGATTTCCTTTTTCTTGGCTATGATGGAAGATATGGTTGTACGGGATTTGTTATACATCCTGGCCAGTTTGCCCACACGTACGCCACTATCATATTGTTCAATGATGTTTTTCTTAAATTCAATCGTATTTCTCACCTTCTTTACCAAAGGCTTGGCACTAGGAGCTTTCTTTGGAGCCATGGTAGCTTATTTAGCACTTAAATACCTTGCAAGCACTAATATAAACGAAATATTATGAAATATTTCGCTGGAGCACGTGAAGGGACCGTCGCTCACTGGTAAACAATGGCACACTGGCTGGGAAGGAAAGGCCGAGGCGGCTCGAGGAGGCTCAGACCGTGAGTACGCGTCCGGACGAAGGACTATTAGCGAGTTACCGGACCATTTCCGAGCCAATATTTTGACGAAAAAACAGGACTAACTGTATTTCCAAAATGGACGACTTTCAGGCCAGACGATTATTGAGGGACCACTGTATATGCATGTGCGTTGGTTTAGAAAGTCACGTAAGCAAACACTATGACATATTTATTAGAAAACGTTTCGGTCCTGGGACCTTGATCACTTCTAACATACAGAGATAGAAAGACATTATATATATATGTTAGAAGTGATCAAGGTCCCAGGACCGAAACGTTTTCTAATAAATATGTCATAGTGTTTGCTTACGTGTCTTTCTAAACCAACTTGTCGGTATTTATTACCAAGGTTTATACCATGCATGTGCGTGTCTGTGAAGTGTGACCAAAGTGTAAGTAGGAGTAGCAAGATATCCCTGTTATCTAGCGTGTTTATGAGACAGAAAAGGACACCAGCAATCCTACTGTCATGTAAAACAGTTACAGGTTTCACAGTCATCTGGCAGGATGGTAGTACTTCCTTGGGTGGTTGCCGTCTACCAACCAATAATAATAATAATATTATTATTTTAATAATAATAATAATAATAATAATCCTAGGTAGTAGGCTGGTAGACAGCAACCACCTAGGGAGGTACTACCGTCCTGCCAAGTGAGTGTAAAACGAAAGCCTGTAATTGTTTTACATGATGGTAGGATTGCTGGTGTCCATTTTTTTGTCTCATGAACATGCAAGGTTTCAGGTATGTCTTGCTACTTCTACTTACACTTAGGTCACACTACACATACATGTACAAGCATATATATACATACACACCCCTCTGGGTTTTCTTCTATTTTCTTTCTAGTTCTTGTTTATTTCCTCTTATCTCCATGGGGAAGTGGAACAGAATTCTTCTTCCGTAAGCCATGTGTATCGTAAGAAGCGACTAAAATGTCAGGAGCAAGGGGCTAATATCCCCTTCTCCCATATAAGTTACTAAATTTAAAAATAGAAACTTTCGTTTTTCTTTTTGGGCCACACTGCCTTGGTGGGATACGGCCAGTTTGTTGAAAAAAAAATAACAATAATAATAATAATAATAATGCATATATTTGAAGGTTATCATGAAGTTTACCACTTTCACATCTCTCTGGTTTTCTGGCAATAACCTCTGATATATAATCACCACCAGAACTGTTTTCTAATGATGATAACCTATTTATAATAATCACCAGAACTTTTTTTTTAAGAGTACATGTACCTAAAAGAGTAAACCAAATCTCGTGGCATCGGTCTTCAGCATTTAGTCTAGCCTATGTTTTTAATTTCCATTGGATATATGGTAATACAGTACTACCTCCTGTAAAACAATTCATTGTTCTACTACTGTGAGGGAAAAACTTATCTAGCCTACTTTTCTGCCAGTTGAGGGGGTTAGAAGTCTTCCTTCATGCTCATGACTAGGTTGATAGTATCCTCAGCTCACACAGCGAGGGACAGGGGATCACTTCTCAGCATGGGTGACTTTTTATTCTTCATTTTGGGCATGTCTGCTTACACTTGCTGCCCCTGTTCACTTACCATTAAGTAGGTATGAGGGCATTAAACAACAGTTGTGGATTGCATCCTGGGGGAGAGGATTAAAGGACTCTTGACGGAAGTAAGACAGAGTCCTTGATGACACACAGACTTCGTTGGGTTATCATGGGCTACTAATCCTCTAAGTTAATAATCCCAACAATATCTTATCCTATCTTTTGTATTCTTTTATAAACTTCAATGTGGTTATCCTATCT